ATGTCTCTCTGCTCACTTCTCACTTTTATATCTCAAAATAGATTTACTTAAGACAAAACGTCATCTTTTAGATTGAGTCTTGCCTTATTAACATCATAGAGGCAGGATTTACAACACATAGGCAAATCAGATCAGATGACAAAATGGTGGACAACCACACAATACTGGGAATCATGGCCTAGCCAAGTTGACACATATTTTGGGAGGGACACAATTCAGTCAAAAACAGGTGGGCTGGAAGCAGCAGTTAGGGTTAAACTGTCAAATGGTTTTTCAAAAAGGGGTGAGGGATGGAACATCCTTTTGGATAAAAAAGACCCAGTTTATGGTTCCTCTCTTCACTTGGCTAACTTTTCTTGAACAATGTTCCTAGACTGGACCATGCCAGAGCATCATGTAGGAATATTTGTTTTAAACTGCAGATTTCCAAGCCCACTTAGAAATGCAGATGCAACTAATCTGTAGCAGTGCCTCCGGAATCACATCTGTATAGACTCCGAGGTGACTGAGGCGGGTCTGCCCTTTGAGAAACACTGCCCTCCCCATGGAGTGCAAAGCTCTGTGGAGAATTATAAGGAAGAAACAGGCTTGCTTCTTGTGCTCAATGAGCTTATCGTTTCGTGAAGAAGACGTGTACATGAGTCACTTTACAAGGCAGAATGAAGTAATTGTTAACTAGAGGTGCAGGCAGCAAGTTGTAGGAGTGACTGTTTCTGACTAGGGGCAGTGAGAAGCCTTCCCATGTAAACTGACGTCTGAATTGCGCCTGGAAGAAGAAAGCTGGGACTTGAGCACGTGAGAGACAAGGATACAGTTTACTGTTGGAATATTCCTCTATTTGATGTGAGGGAATTACCATGCACTCCCCAAGGCAGACTTGTTTTCCTCTTGGTCGTTAACACAGTCTTTCTTTCCCTGCATATGTTGTTACCTCAAGAGTAAAAGTGAGTGTTGAATATTTGTTTTGTAAGATCACAACCCATACAAATTGATTTACACTGTCTGAGAGACTTGGGGCAGCCCCATCTTGTGGTTTGCAAATCAGGTGGGAAGCAAACTAAAGTTGCAGGCACAACCTAGTTGTGCCCTGTGGTTTACTGTTAACGGCTGAAGAGGTCTCCACATTTTTTCTGGTTTGAATCTGTCAGAGTCCCACTCAAGAGAGGCAGCAGGCGTGACAAGGCTTTTGGCAAACAGAAAACAATGCCTGTTATGGATTGAAGTGTGTCCTCCCAAAAGATGCGTTGAAGTCCTAACGCCTGGTACCTGCGAACATGACTGTGTTTGGAAACAGGGTCTTGGAAGATGTTAGCAGTTAACGTGAGGTCATACTGGAGTAGATGACGGATGTCCTTTTATAAAAGAGGAGAAGAGACAAAGACAAATACAGAGGGAAGACAGCCAGGTGACAGTAGAGTTATGCAGCAACTGTAAGCAGGGAACGGCTGGGGCTGCCAGAAGCTGAGCGAGACAAGGAGGGATCTTCCCCGGGATCCTTCAGAGAGAGCACGGCCCTGCTGATACCCTGAATTAGGACTCCTCGTCTCCAGAATTGTTAGACTATAAATTTCCATTCTGATAAGCCACCTACTTTGTGGTGCTATGTTTCAGCCGCCCTAGGAAAGCAGTACAGTGCCTACCTGGTAGAGCTGATGATCTGCTACTTAAACAAGTCCTTGAACTTTTAAGCAGAGTTTGTAAGAACTGATGCATTTTCATACTGGCCATATCTATACGTTAGACTCTAAAACTTGAAAAAATAAAATGGCCTCAGAATTTATGGGATTTTGTGAGACTTTATTAAAATAAAAAGATCATGTTAACTTAGAATTCGCATAATAGGATCTCTGTCTGCTTTTTATTTTTAGCTGTTTTTCAACTCAAAATATCTCATGGGGTGGGAGAGCAGTCACAGGGGTTTCCTCTCGTTTGGATAGATCCTTTCATTAACTTGTGTATTGGCAGACAGCTTTGAAAGATTTGTGTTTGCTTAGTTCTCTTAAAGAGATTTTTTTTTTCTATAGCATTGATTCTATTTTTTAATTAACTCGGTAGTTGTCAAACTTGGTTCTTTGTTGTTTTTTTTTTAAATTTATTTGTTGTTGTTGAGAATTTAAAGGTCTTGAATTTCTTGGCGTAGAGCATCTGTGTTAGGCTGTGTGGGTGGGGCCCAGGCATCTTTCTTTCAAAAGCCTCTCTGGGTAACTCTGCCTAGAGCAAAAAACCAAACCTGTTGCTGTCGAGTCGATTCCAATTCATAGCACCCTACAGGACAGAGTAGAACTGCCCCATAGGGTTTCCAAGGAACGGCTGGTGGATTTGAACTGCTGATCCTGTGGTTAGCAGCTAAGCTCTTAACCTGTGCTGCCAGGGCTCTCAACCTAGAGCAAGGACAGAGACTCTCTAGACTGAACTGTAGTGGCTTAGGACCACAGCTTTTACACACCCAGGATTGAGAAAGGGAGGGGAACAAATATCCAGACCAAAATTATTTATTCCTGACTTCAGCTTTGTTAAAGTATTTACCCCACTGCACTAATAATCTTTTTTCTTCTGCTTTCACTTAAGTGCCACTTTAAAATAGGAAGACTTTTTTTTTTAATTACCTCAAGTATTCACTAGAACAATCATGGTGTTATGAATTGAATTGTGTCACCCAGACATATGTGTCAACTTGGCTAAGCCATGATTCCCAGTATTGTGTGATTGTCTTCCATTTTGTGGTCTGATGTGATTATCCCATATGTTGTAAATCCTACCTCTGTGATGTTCATGAGGTAGGATTAGAGGTAATTTACATTAATGAGGCAGGACTCAATTTATAGGATTAGATTGTATCTTGAGTCACTCTCTTTTGAGATATAAAAGAGAGAATCTAACAGAGAGAGGAGGAACCTCCTACTACCAAGAATGAAGAACCAGGAGGGAAGCACCTCCTTTGGACCTGGGATCCCTGCGCTGAGAAGCTCTTAGACCAGGGGAAGTTTGCTGACAAGAACCTTCCCCCAGAGCCAAAAGACAGAGAAAGCCTTCGCCTGGAGCTGGCCCCTTGAATTTGGACTTCTAGCCTCCTAGACTGTGAGAGAATAAATTTTTCTGTTAAAGCCGTCCACATCTGGTAATTCTGTTACAGCAGCACTAGATAACTAAGACACATGGCAGAGAGGCCCCACAGTTATCAGAACCTACAGTCTCACATGTTGTTCCTGTCTCCCTTGATGCATGTTCCTGGTATAGGAAAAAAATATAGTTACTAGGGACCTGCCTTAGCGATTTCCTGGGCCTAGGCAAACTTGAAGCCCCTTCCCAAAGATATTGTCTCCATAGAATCCTCCGGCTGTTGCGTTTTCCCCTGGCTTCCGACGAGTTCTTGCCTTAAGGTGACTGCACTAAGCCTCCCAGGCTTACACACTCAGGCTAGAAAATCCTGTGACCAGTAGCATGGATGAGAAGGAGCGCGGAGCGCTAACCTCAATCATAGTATAGTGTTCTCTGTGGGGAGCTGCCGTCCTGCCTGCTTGCGTGAGGATAAGCACTTATCCTCCAGCTCCCACCGCTGGGCAGGGAGCTTGTGTCAGGGAAACAGTCCTGGATGCCGGAAGTGACCGCATGGGTTCCCACTGCCATCCGGAGATTAGAGGAGATTTTCAGAAGGACAGGTGGTGAGTGGGGATGTGCAGGGGGGTGTTTGCTAAGAAAATTAGATCGGAGAATTCATCATGAGAACTGGGTTTTGTTTTTCCCGAATTTGCCTGTTTTGCCTGGCATCTCTGCAAACTTAGTCTCCTGATGTATCATAGCATTGCCTGGACGGGAGGAGGGTGGGGGGCAGTGGGTAGGAACCAAGGAGGTGGAACTGGGGAGGGCCAGGAGGCAGAGAAGGGTCCTCGCTGGTACTCTGTTGCTTGGGGGCAGAAGCTGGATGCAAGGGAGGTTAATTTCAAAGCTCCATTCCTCGGCTCTCTTGTGGATGGTGGGTGTGTTACCTTTCACCTGTAGCTGAAATGGAATGAAATGGCACAGAAATGTCTAGAAGGGTGACTTCCCTCCTGCCTGGCTATCTACCACTGCCATTTCACAGGAAGAAATTCAGTCCACAACAACCCTTCTGATGTGTGCTTGGTGTAACTTGATCCAGGAAAGTAGATGATTTGGGGACCAAAACCAAAAACCAAACCCGCTGCTGTCGAGTCGATTCTGACTCATAGCGACCCCGGATGATCTTAAAGTAGAGGAGCCCTGGTGGCGCAGTGGTTAAGCGCTCAGCTGCTAACCTAGAGTTCAGCAGTTCAAACCCACCAGCTGCTCCATGGGAGAAAGATACGGCAGTCAGCTTCTGAAAAGATTGCAGCCTTGGAAACCCTATGGGGCGGTGCTCTGTCCTGTAGGGTCAGTATGAGTCAGAATTGACTCTACAGCAGTGGGTTTGCTTTTGAGTCCTAAAGTTAATGCCTTTACAGGAGTGGAGTTATGCAGAATCCAGATTCTTTTGCCGTTCTCGTGACTTTAAAAACCACCTTCCTTAACCATTATCTCAGGGTCTGGTTTTAGGAGTGTGGGATACATAGAAATGAAGTGGAAGGCCATTTTCTCCTATACTTTTGTGCTTTTGTGTCAGATTTACTTCATAGATTATAAAACATGGTTTACTTAAGACTTTCATGCTTAATTCTCAGTCAGGAAGATCCATCTTATGTTTTGAATGCTGGCGTTATCTGAGATAAATCTTTGCGGGGAAAAAAAATCAACTCGATAATCAAATTGACTCTAGTTGGAGGAAAGCAAGGCTCAAATAATTGGCCCAGAACATGTTTTTGGTGCCAGATAATTAGACTTTCTATTTTTGTTTAAAGTTTTTCTGGTTAGAAATGTAAATTAGTTTCTGTGAACAATAATACGTTAACCAGAATTTTGGTGGAAGTTACAGTACAGTTTCTAGGAGTTCAGATTTTTTTAGTGTTTTTCTTGGAAATGATATAGTTCCATTTTGTCTCTTTTAGTTGACCAGATATATCATCTGGCATCTCCAGCCTCCCCTCCAAACTACATGTATAATCCTATCAAGACGTTAAAGACCAATACAATTGGGACTTTAAATATGTTGGGTAAGTTGTCAATTTCTTGTTTTGCTGCTCTTACTGGGGATGTTTTAGAAGATTTCAGCCATAGGTAACTGAGTGTTCCTTGAGTTTGATCTTGTCCCTTATGTCTCCTCCCTCCTCCCCCTGCCAGTGTTATTTCAGTGCGACTTTAGTAACCAAAAGGTCAACAGTTCGAATCCACCAGCTGCTCCTTGGAAGCCGTGTGGTACAGTTCTGTTCTGTCCTATAAGGTCGCTATGAGTCAGAATTGACTTGACAGCAATGGGTTTTTGGTTTTTTTTTTTTTTTAATTTGCTGTGAGAGTGTGTCATAGGGTGGGCGGTCTGACTCCCGTACATCATAGTGATTTGGTCTCTGTTGCCTCCGTGTAAATCCCCGCAGAGTGCTAACCTTCATTTTGTAGTCATCACGTGTATGTCCACACCTACCATATCTTAGATGTGTAGCTGTGGAGAATATGTACATATTAGGGTTTAAAATTAGAGACATGCTTAAGTTTGGCACGAGTTTAAAGAACTGGGGTGTTTCTACTTCTGTGAAGTACACGAATGTATAGAGACCCAAGTGTATTCGTGGTTACTAGCGAGTGGGGGGATCATTTCTTAAGGGGCGCTGAGTTTCTGTTAATTAATGGTGGTGGAATAATTTGGAAACAGCAGAAATGGTTGCACAACATGATGAACATAACCACTGTCACTGAGTTGTACATTAAAAAATGTTGAATTGACCCATGTTTTGTTTTATACACACACACACACACACACATATATATATATATATATATATATATAAAACCACAAAAAAGCAAAAAAGAAAACAACTCGGGTTTTGGTTAGCTGCAAAGTGGAAGAAAGGAACCACTTTTTAAAATTTCAAGTAAAAATTGATTTATAGGAATATTTAAAACAAGCTACTTGAATGGATTTGGGAAATACAGTACTAAATTTTAATTTGAACGAAGCATCGAGGCGAAGGACCCAAAGGCAGCCAGAGATTGGCTTGTACGTCTCTTAGACTAAACATTTGGGAGCGTCAAGCTCCGCGTGAGGTAAAACGATCCATTCTTGTCATCAGGAAAGGGAGTTTGTTCTCCTCTTTGTTCTTGTCTCCTGTCCAGGTCAGTAGACAGGACAGAGTGTTTCTGCCTCTGCTGAGCGGTGTGGCAAGCTCTGACGGCCCCTCCTTCCCCCCGTTCCACATTCTCTCTGCCCTCCACCTCCTGCCTCCCTCGTACCAAAAGTAGACACAATAGACGAAGCACATCTAGCACATGACAGTTAAAAGATGTCATTTTTTCTACCTGTTTACGAAATGCAGTTCCTGTGCCCGGGGCTCTGTGGTTGGGGATACAGATAAGGATTATACTCAGGTCCTACTCCCAGGAAACTTAAGCACCTCGCAGGGGACATGATATTTGGGTGTACCATCAGTAATACGGAGCCCTGGTGGCACAGTGGTTAAGAGCTTGGCTGCTAACCAAAAGGTTGGCAGTTTGAATCTACCAGCCACTCCTTGGAAACCCTATGGGGCAGTTCTACTCTGTCCCATAGGGTCGTTATGAGTTGGAATCAATTTGATGACAGGGGATCTTTTGAATATTTCAGAAGAGATTGACTTAAGACACACCCTACACTAATACTGTCACATTAACATAAAGAAAACCCATCCTCCAATGGGATTATAACCCCAGGGATAAAAAACAAACCAAATCCGTTGCTGTTGAGTCAATTCCGACTCATAATGACCCTATCGGACAGAGTATAACTGCCCTGTAGGATTTCCAAGTAGTGGCTGGTGGATTCAAAACTTGACCTTTTGGTTAGCAGCCAAGCTCTTAACCACTGCACCACCAGGGCTCCATCACAGGTATAGGGGTTAGGATTTACAACACATTTTT